AATTATAGACCAATCGACGCGGAATTTCGCATGTAGCTAGAGTTTAGGGCGGGGAAGAAGCCTACCAATTTGGGTGGTCTTCGGATAATATTTAGCGGGTAAAATAACCATATCTTTTGTGTTGAAAAAATTCAAAATTTTTCATTGAACCGCGAATATTTTAAATCCCGGCGAAATCACGAAGCCATGACAAGGTTACTTCTGACCTTTACATTGATGTTAACATCCAACAAATCGGATATATAGCAAAATATGTGCGATATATATGTCTATCAAAAAAAGATATGCTTGAAAAATCTCTTATATGTGGAGAACGGCTGAACTGATTTCGACAGTTCTCATTAATTCAGAATGGCCTCTTGGCAGGAAAAAAAAACGTCTAAAAAATCTCATAAAAATATCTCTCTAAAGATGAAAATATTGATTTTGTAAAATTTTCTCATATTTTTTTGAATTTTGTCACATTTTTGGCATATTTTCATTTTGAATTAATTATTTGGTAATATTTCTACAGCTAACAAAACTAAGTAGTTAGGATATCCTGATATATGATATACAGATCGCTTTTATGGCCCGATTCTTACGAAATTTTACATGGGGATAAGATGAGGGTCAGAATAGAAGCCTATTCTTTTTGGAGATGATCGCCATATATTTAGGGGTTGAAATGGACCAAAAAACTGCAAAATTGTCAGCAGGTCATAATTATCGCCCGATATTCACGCACATTTGAATGGGGGTTACCGGTTACCAATCAGCTTTGAATGGCCATCCAAAAATATTCAATGTATGAAATATGTCTTGTAGACAAAATACGAAAATGTCCATTCCAGTGACTTTTTGGAGAATTCACAAATACGGGATAGACGCACTTCTGACTATTTCGTTACCGCTGATTTCGTTCAAGAATATAGTCAAATGTCTGTATCTCATATATGTGCGTTTTAGTCAAAAACCAATAATAAATGTTAATCTTTTGCCACTTCTGAGAGATTATAGGTCTTTGGGAAATATTGGTTCCTGATCTAAGAAGACCATTTACGTGCATAATCTACCAATAAATTGGAAATGAACAAATTAGTTTAAGTTGCTATTATTCGAAAATTAGAGAACGGAACCTGATGGTTTTCTTTTATTATTTGTCACAATATCTTTGGAATTCTTTCGAGTATCTCGCCTATATAAACTGTATAGTTTACTATAGTGTTGTAGGGTATTCATCGGCCGGCCCCGCTCGACTGTAGCTTTTGCTTACTTGTTTAAATTATTTTTTTTCTAGATTAATTTATTCATGAAATAAACTTGATTTTAAAAAACCTGAAACCACATAGGCACACTACTGAAATGGCAATTTAAAGCCATTCTTTATAGCCTACTCGATCGTTCTGAAATGCAATTAAAATATTAAACATCATGTCTTTCAAGGAGTTTTAAATATATCTCCATATCTTGCGTTCTCTTTCAATTACCAGAAATAAGATTTTATGCAAAACTATAATAAATATTCTATAGGCAATAAAAAACGACCAGGAACTGGTAGAGATCTTTTATGAAAAACAATTTTAAAATTCATCACGTGTTGACAACCGCCATTAGCCTCAACAGTGTGGAGCCGGTGTTTGCAAATACATAAATATCCACATGGCTGATTTATGTCGGGAGATTATGTATAATTTTATGTGTAACTTTTTTATAGTGCGAAATAAATTTTATTTTTAATACACTTTATTTTACAAAAACAAAAAATGTTTTTATAAGTAATTAAGTGAGGAATTGAACAATAACAATTGTTTATTTTTTACAAAAATAAAGTGTATTCAAAATAAACATTTATTTCAGACTATATATAAAAAATTTTTATAAAATTTAATAATTTTTATAAAATTTAAAAATTTTTATAAAATTTAATAATTTTTATAAAATTTAAAATTTTTATAAATTTAATAATTTTTGTAAAATTTAATAATTTTTATAATATATATAATTTAATATTTATAATATATGAATGGAAAAAAATGAGCGTGTTTACCAGAGTTAAAGCACGTAAGACCATGGTTCCGGAAAGATCAATTAATCTTTGTCAGATAAAAAATAAGGGTTGTGTCAGGAGGTATTCTCGCCCGGAATTATTTTAAAATAACTGGTATGATAAAAACTATTATTGCCAAATAACAATGGTATTCCTACAACAAACGCCAACGCTGTTGTGTTTGTGTCTTAAGTCTTTTGTTTTCTTTTAAAGAAAACTAAAACAAAAGTAAATAAATCACGGATGATACTAACAAATTCACGTTTCTTACACTTGCATCTTCTTCCTTTGTTTATTTTATAAAAAGAATTACATTAATAAACATTTACACCTTTGCATGTCTTGGCAAATGAAACGAAATACCCAGTTTTGATTTTGCAATTAATCTCCTGCACTTTCAATTTGTATGTTACTATCAACAACAATTAAAGTAAACAACATTGTTTTAATAATTAAATATTCGTGTGACATTTCTCTAAGCTATTGGCATTCGCGTGAGATTCTCAATTGAAGATAAGACAAAGTCTATTAACCTGAGACAGTAACATTTCAATTTATCAAGATGAAACTAAATACGATTTTGAGTAGAATTTTAAAATAGGGCAATTAGAAAGTGTACCAAAAATCTGTAGATTGGGATCTCAAGAAAGAAATTATACAAATTTGAAAAAAGCACCTAAAGTATCATCGAACAATCCAGTTTAGAGTAGTTTTCCCATGGTTCATAGATTGAAAAGAGGAATGTATGTATATGTAATGTATTTTAATGGTTTCAGATGAATTTCTTAATAAAATGTTGGATCAAAAATTGGCAAACTGATTCATCTCTTTAGAGGATATAAACACTCCTTGCAGAAATATAGGTCGGAAGAAGCTGCAATTTGTTATTATAAATACAGGACGTATTTATAATATTTGACTTCCTTCCTAAATGTCTAAGTATTTGCCTAAGAATTTCCGACAGTTTCCGACAGCAGTTGTCTCATTTGGGGTATTCAACGCTTATTTGTTCCTTCATCTGAAAACCAGGATGTAAAAAGATTTAGATGTGTGTGAAACAAGAGGACAATTCCAGCTACCTTTCAGCGTAATTAACACGGCGTGTCTATGAATTTCTATTTCACCAAAAGTTGATAAGAGAATACCCCTTTTTCAGAAAAAGTGTCCTCTGTTAAAAGGTAGCACATAGTCGCATGTATACCACACATTAAAGTTGTGTCAATTTAGTTCATAGTTCAGTACGCCAGTTCCTAAGCGTATGAGTGATGAGCACAAATTTAATATCACTCATACGCAGTATTTTCATACAAACGAGTGGAGTCCACGGAACTAAAGGGAACCAAATGTCAGACGTCCGAAACAGCTGCTATAAGTCTGCAGTTCTGTCCAACTCGTCGGACCAACGTATTTCCGAAATCTGAGCAATTTGTCTGAGGGATTTTTTTATGTTGTAGTAATAAAATAAATAGAGTGCGTTACTCTCTCTCCCTCTCTCTTTGAGAGTTTGTTTGTGATCATACCTTGTGGTTGAAATAAATGCATAATTGCTGGTACGAAATGTACGAAACCTTTTAGAAAGTCGGCAAAAAGTATTCAGAAATGCGCACGATTTTAATTCAATCCAAATTTCACATGGATATCCTCGCGAACTAGGTCCAACTTCGATTCGAAAGTCGGCGAAAACTTCAGACTTTTATCCGACTTTTCGGTCAGACAACACGACAACCTCTCCACCATCGTTCAGAAGTCCGATCGAATACGCATCCGACATGGGAAGTTTTATCAGATTTTCTAACAGTTTTCGTACCGAGACAGTTTGGTTCGATGTGGTTGGTGCACACGATAATCACACGATTATCGAACAAATCCAGTTCTAAATCACTGTGTGCCACAACTACTGTCATTAGGCCCTAAATGTTCACTTTCATGTTGAACGTTATATCAGATCGTTATCCTGGCCAATGTAAAAAAAATGTCTGATTTTCAAGATTTTCAAAAATACATTTTTTTACAAGAAAATCCAAATTATAACTAACACCGATGTAGGTAATGGTAATAAAGCCCAGATAAGAAGTTGCCTGAGATATACGATTTATTTTGAAAATGTTGAAGTTTTTGAACCAATTATATCAGCTTTCCAGCGGATCTAATATTGAATGATTATAAACATGTTACGACAATTAAAAATGTTGACCATAAGATGTTGAACGATTGTTTAATAAACAGATTAACCCTAAATGAATTACTATTTCTTTGATGGTAAAACAAATGGAAATGAAAAATATCTTAAAGTCCATCTATGTGTACCTAACGAAGCATATGAATGGTAGAATGTTTGTAATTTTTATCTAAGATATAAATTTTGATTATGTACAACATATCATAAATCAGAAAAGATCTATACATTATGTACAGGGAATACTGAAAATGTTTATGTCAGGAGTATTTATAGTTCGAAAATGCCAATTGAGATTCCCTACTTATCTTCCACTAAAAAATTATTTTGACAAAAAACCACTGCAATCTCCTGGTACTTTCAACTTTTTTTTTTCTTATCAATCTCTAATTTTAGTCTAAATTATTTTCTTCAATAATAGAACCACCGTAACAATATTTTGTGGATGTCCAAATTCTATCAATTATTTTTGACAAAATTCAAAGCCCTTTAATTAATTCCAAACATATTATTAATGGATGCATTGATGGGTAAAAACTTAATCGGCAATTTAATATTTAGTTAATAAATACTTTTCGTGTCGCTCACTTGGAACAAAAATAATAAATATTTATTGTTGTTCATTTATGATGATGATGATGAGGGATGGCTGGCTGGAATTATTGAATACTGTTGCCTGGTTATTTTCACAATGTGTTTAATAAATAAATATGTTTAAAATAAGTAAATAGAAAAATAAAACATAAAAAAATATTAGTTTTTTTATAAATAAAAATAATATTTAATTTTACTCACGTTGTTATTAGCATGATGTGAAAATTTTGTGTGTATATGTGTTTTTGTTTTTTAATTTATTTTTCTAAGTCGTTGACTTGTCGTTGTTTTTTCCCCCTAATTTCGATGGCGTTGATGTTGATTATTTATTTTCTAATTGCTGTTGCTGTATTTTTTTGTCGTTGCACAATTATAATAAAAATTAAAAATTAAACTGAAAACAAGAAAAAACCCTAAAATAATTTAATAAAAAAATAATTATAACTAAAATTTCCAATAAAAAATAAATCAAAAATTTTCTTTTCCCCCAAAAGACAATCCAATATTTATTTTTTTAACAATTTATCAGCCACCAAAGAAATCACGTTTTTGTTTGTTTTTGCTAAAAGAAAAAGAAGGAAAAAAAAACAAAATTTTCAATTAATTCCATACACTTGACAATCTCTTTTTTATTTTACTTTGCCAAAAAAAACCACAACTGATTACAAATTCTCGGTCGCCAGCGTTCACACCGCAAATCATGTTTTTTTTTGTGTTCGAAAGCTTCTTAAAATTCTATTAATATAACTGGGAATTTTTGTTTTTTTATTTTATTTTGAAATCCCCTTAAAAGAACGGTTTTGCTTGATAAAATCAAAAATTCTTTGTTGGGGGCATGACGTTTATGAATTTCTAATTCGTTTATGTATTTTCTATGTAAAATTATGTATATCTTGTAATATCTGGGAATTTTATTTTTAGAATATTTTTATGTTTTATAATTGTTTATTCAAAAGATAAGATACAAATAAAGTATTCTCTCTTTTATTTGTATAAACAAATATTTCCATGGCGATGATCAAAAAAAGTACCGAAAATGTTGAATAACGATGGCTAAAATATTTTCAACATAATTTTAAATAGTTTCAATTTAATTTATTTATTTATTTTTTTTTTTGTAAATATTTATTTATGTTTATTTATTTAAAAAAAAAAATATTTTAAAACACTTTAAGCTATGAGTATTAGATTTACTGTAAAAACTTTTATAAATCCCAAGTTGAGCCGAACATGTGATACCCTACTACACTGTAATACACTATAATATGGGAAACCCCCTTAGGCCAAAATCTATTTTATTCTTTTTTTTTAATATATTCCTAAAAATAAGCTTCTATTCTGAACCTAAGCCAAACTTCATGCTACATTTCATGAGAATTGGGTCAGGAACTAGAAAGACTTGGGTCGGAAAGATGGGAAGATCTACAGGGTGAGATAAAAAACTAAAACAAAGTCAAACGCCATAATTTTTACATTTGTTTTTAAATTTCATTGAATGAAAGCAAAAAATGTCGGAAACAGCATCAAATTTTAGAATAAGTTTAGATTTGTTCGAATTGATCACCGTTGGCACGAATTATGGACTTCAAACGGCCAATGAAACCGTCACACGCTGCCCGAATGTTGCTCTGCGGTATTTTGATCCATTCCCGGCGAAGCCCTTGCTTGAGTTGATCGACACTTTCGGATTTTCTAGTCCCAAACTTGCTTTCCAAAATACTCCAGACACAATAGTCCAACGAATTGGTATCCGGAGATTTTGGTGGCCATTGTGCGCTGGAAATGAAGCAAGGAACCTCATTTTGTAACCATTCTTGAGTGGCGCGTGCTGAGTGCGATGGTTCTGAGCCCTTTTGGAACGACTAATGTCTGCGGCCAAAATGTTTGCGTGCTGTCGGAGTGGCTTAGAAATGACAGTAGTCTGAAGGTGGTTGCAGTTTCTTCATCTCGCCCTGTATAACATCGTGGGTCTAGGACCAGTATTTCTCGGTGTTACAAACTTTTTGGCCCAATCAAACGTATAATACCCCAAAACATAGCGTTGCGGAGTATAAAAATTAATGATTTTTAAAAAAAATTCTGTAAATTGCAATTTGTTTTGCAATTTGTGAAATTCGGAATGAATCGGATTCTTACTTCGTATTTTATTAACGTTTTATTTATAAGCGTTGTGATTAAACAAAATGTTAACACTTTGTGGAGGAGGTAGTTGATAGGGTTGGCTGATAATGTCCATTTTCGATTCTAATCCAGCACTGATACGATTGTTACGATTTGGAAAGTTGGTAGAAAATTGTTTCATAGTTTCTCCATTTGAAAAAAAAATTGACCAAAAAAATTTGACCAAATCGGATATTCCCTTATGCGGTTAACGTGCACACCAGCCAGACACACGGACGGACACCCCTAGATCGACTGCAAATGTATTGAACACACATTTGGTCCAAAGAGACCTAGGGTCTAAGCCCGTTTTTTCGATGAGGCACGCTTTGGCTGTATCAAATTATATATACCTTCTGTAGCCATATGACTGAGGGTATACAAAATTCATTGTTAGTATAAATAAAAATTAAATAAATCTGCCCTGGAAAATATAAAAAAATTCTGATGAAATTCTGAAAAACTTTGTTTTTGATATAAATTCCTTTACAAGAGAAGATTCAAATTTTGATCTGAGGGCTTGATTTATAGTAATATTTAAAATAATCTTTTCTCATTGAATTTTCTTTGCCGTACGACGATATTTTACTCTGCATTTGAATTTCTGTGGTGGTATTTTACCCACATCCGACACGAGTATCTATTTAAGTTTTCATTGAATTATATGGTATTCATAGAGAACGTGCCCTAGACTGAAGATGTTTGTCACACCAATGCATCTTTGGCGCGATATAACATTTGTGTGTGTATGTTTCAACACTTCGATAGTTTCCGGCAACAACAAATACGACAAAGCAACGATATACAGTGGTTTTGGATGATATTTAATTTTTAAAATAATTGAGAGAATGAGCACTCATTAAGTTTTGCAAAAAAAAATATTGGAAAATAGAAATAAAAAGTTTTGCCAAAAAAAAAATATTGGGAAACAGAAATAAAAATTATAGCAATTATGCTATAAACTAAAAACAGGATCTAAATTCAAAATAGCACTGACCCCAACTTATACAATGGCGTAAATGGAGATAAAATAAAATATGTTAAAGTTTTTGGTTTGTATGGAAATTCTAGTATTGCTGGATGTAAAATCTATTGTCTATTGAACAAATGTCAATATATGCCAAGAGCATTTAGTACAGCAATCAATTTGTGCTCTTCTCTTTTTTGGAGTGCAAACTTTTTCTCTTTTTTCCTTTAGAAAGATAGCTTTACTCTCTCAAGTATTTTTCTCATGTTGAATCAATAATCCTTTGAAAAGCTTGTACTCTCTGGAAAACCTTATTGACCGGAACTAAACATTGAAAAATTAAACATTATTTTTATTATCGTAAATTGTTACTTTAAGCAATTTGTTTAGTAATTTTTATAATTGTTTTGCTTTTTTATGTCTTCCCACAGACAGGTTTTCAAAGTTTTAGAATAAATAGACGTATTGTTCTACATCATAAAGTAATTTTATGGTCACCACTTATTTTGACACTTTATAATTTTGTTTGTTTATTGTACTTGTTTTTATTCATCAATTAAAAATTAACTCCAGAAAAAAACACTTTTTGTTTACGTATTTTTTTGGTAACTACCAAAAAACTTTAATTCACTTCAACTTCCCCGACATGACTCACATTTGAGATCCGTCCGCTGTGATATAAGTCTAGTATTTCGTCGCTGAAGGTAGTCTTCATTTTACATTGACTTGAAAATGTTATTAGCCACAAGCTTTGTTTGTTGTCATTTTGTTATCTCCGTTCTTCATGTGGTCATTGGTTTTTAACCTTTCCATCGTCCAATTTTATTGTTAAGGTTGTTTTGTTCTGGCCGATGCGAAAAACAAAAATTGAGAACTTTGTTGAAGTGTCTAAAAGTTGATCTTCAAAATATTTTTGTGGCTTATCATGTTGTTGTGTTCTACAATAGGGTGGAACATAAAATGTTAATTTTTCTGAAAATAATGACTATCAGGAGATTATACCTCCAATACCTCAAAAAACCTATATGAAGTACTTAATTTGATTTAATTTATTATAATATTATTTCACTTGACCTTTGTTCGATGTATTTTCTTCTGGGTTTTCGTTTGGCTTTTGGTCAGAATTTAAAAAAAAAACAGACGATTTTTTATATTTCAATTTATTTTTCCGATATTTCGACTATCTTCGATAGTCTCCATCAGGGGGTTTATTTGGCCTTTTTTCTTCTCACTTTCAATTTATTTGATAGAGCTTCTCCATCGTTTGTTTAACACGAATTTTATGGGGTTTATCCAACTAAAGATAAAATAATGTATTTTCTAATATAGTTTTTCTTTTTCGTAATGGTCTGAAATTCCAAATACATTTTGAAAATCTTTAACTGAAAATTCTCCACAAAAAATTAATTTTTTTCAATCAATACCCAAGAACTCAATGCTCCACCCTAATGCAGGTATTTATCTGTGTGTGTGGCCAAATAAAAAAATTGAACCTTGTTTTCGACACTGTAGTTCGGTCAATGTTGAAGCTCGTCTCATTATAGCTTAAACAAAACCAAGCCAAAATAATAATAACAACAATAACATTAACAGCATCATCGTCAAAGCTGTTAAAAATGTATAATCTACTTAAGTCAGCAGAAATTGAAATGAAAACAAAAATCAGACGGAACGTTTATCTCTGTGGAATACAAGTAAACAACAACAACAACGACGACGACAGAAGTAATGGCTACAACAAAGAAATCTGACCAAAGTAGAAAAAATAATAAAACAAAAATTGTTTACCGACTCAACAGCTCAGCATTTAGTTGTTGACATTGACGATTTCATTAGCAGCACCAGCAACAACAACAACGAAACTCTGGTAGCAACATTAAGCCCATAACAGTCAATCATCGACATCATCATCGTCAACACAATTGTGGCCCTAATGGTCATAATGATGATGACGATGGCGATGATGATGATGGAAATGCAATGCGTTACTCGCTGTCGATGGCCACAATGAGAAAATAATGATCGGAGGCTGATCCGTTAAAAATTCAATGCAATTTCACACATTATAATTTTCAATGGGCGCAACAAATATTGAAATTGAATTACATTTTTATTTTCAAAGCGACCTCACGATGCCAATGCAAAAATTAGGGGAGTGATTTAGACATGGAAGAAATATGGAGAAACGAAAAAAATTCTGATAGTCGCAGATTCCACCTTCTTTAAAGTATATAGCACCTGATGACATCTACTGCTGAGAAGATTAACTAAGATGCTATTTACGGT